CCCCTCTGCCCCGAACACCTGGGCCCCCCCCCGAGGAAAGCACAGGTTGACACTTGGGACACGACTCCCCAGCCACTCAGGCTTTCTCTTCCTTAAGGAAAGGAGCTTGAGTAGAGATTTGCCCCCAGATGCCTGGGTCCCAAGGGCTGGGGGGCACTGGGAGCACCCAGGTCTCCCAGCAGGGACAGACACCCATGGGAGAGGGCTGGGGATTTGCCCATCCCTGCTCCCCTACTGAGCGACGCTGAGCCGGTGTCCCCAGGGGTGGCCTGGCCCCCCCACCCCACCCTGGGGTCCCCCCCCAGCCCAGGGCCCTACCTCACCGCTGGCCGGGGCCGCTGAGCCTGCCTAAGCGCGAGCCCCAGTGCCGAGCCAAGGGCTCCAGCCGCGCAGGGCATGAGATCAGCGTTTTATTCTGTGAGCCGGCAGTGGGGAGGGGCAAGATCAGATATCCTCGTGCGTTATCGAGCCCTGCCAGACCCCCCACACCAGCTCCACCCCGGTGCCCCAGGCCATCAGGGGGCCCCTTGTGCCTGTACCAGTGGCTCTGAGCACCCCTCAGGGCACCGGGAAGGGGCTCACTGCCATTTGCGTCCACCCTAGCCAGGGGAGAAAGAAGTTTGGGGACTGGTGGAGGGTTTCCTAGGGCTGTGCTCTCCAGGGACAAGGCTCGAGCCAGTTCCCAATGCTGCAGGGACACATGGAAAGGCTGAGTCTCATGCCCTCGGGCCCTGCAGATGCCCCTAACTTCCCCCTTCTCCCCTGTGAGGAAGTCTCCCCCTGCTTTGCTCTGAGACTGCCCAGGGTGTCTCTGCTCCCCCCTCCCCCAGCCCCTAATCCACCAGGATCAGAGGCAGAAGGTGTGAGACCAGAACAGTCAAGGAACAGGCACTCCTGCAGCAATGCCACACTGCAGGGAATAGGAACAGCTACTGCTTGTTTATTGTAGGGTCTCCCAGAAAACAAGAGGCTGTACACAGCGTTTGTTTACCATAGGGCCTGCTTCCATTGCAGACGCTGCTTGCTTACTGGCAGAAAAGACAGTCAGCAGATACTGGCTTTATTATACAGCTGCTCCTAGGATTTATTTCTTTTTAATATAAAAAACAGTATAAAGTAGATAAATAGAACAATGAACCATCACCCAGGAGTCAAAACACAGAGAGGAGAGGCCTCAACTCAGAGCCACCCAAACATGGCTGTGAGCCCTGCCAGCCCCGCACTGGCACTCAGGTTGCCGGGACGCTCTGCTTGATGATGATCTTCTGGCGGGTAGCACGCACATTGGGGTCAGGGCCAGGGGAACCAGTCCCCAGGGCAGCAGAGGCAGCAGCGCTGGGCAGCCCATGCGCTGTGATGTATTTCTTGTAGGCCTCGCGGATGATTTTGAAGGCACGGATGTTGGAGTAGGGAATGTCGGTGATGGGGTCGCGGTAGACGGCCGGCTTGTGGGTGACAGGGCAGATCTCACGCACAGGCAGCCGGGGCTGCTTCGCCTTGGGGAAGAAGTGCTCAAAGGTCTCATCGTCGCTGAAGGTGATGAAGGTACGGGAACACTTCCCAGCAGAGGACGGAGCCACAGCTGGCACTGCTTCTGCCTGCTGCAGGTCTTGATCCAACCTGGAAAGGCTGCAATTAGCTCCGATAGGACACTAAGGGCTTGGGAAAACCCTGAGGCAACTCCTGGATGAGTCAAAGCCACCAAATCCCCTCCTCAATCCCCTCCACAGGACTGGAGTGCAGAGTTAGGGAGTCGAATGTGCCTTTCGAAACCCACTTCCCCCTCAGTGTGACGGGACAGAGCCTGGGGAGCAATCTGGAGTAGGACCTGACACCGGAGGGGCCTAGCTGCATGCTGTGAGGCAACCTACCCCTCTACATCCACATTCTCCTCCTTGCCCAACTCTGTGATGAGGGGCATGGTGACGGAGCAGTAGCGGATGACAGGCCCCACGCATTTCCGCTTCTTCTGAACCTGCTTCTTCTTGTCGGCCTCCAGGCGCTCATAATTCTCTGCAGAGGTGGGGACAAATGGGGTCTCAGCACCTCACTGATGCCCTCACTCACCAGCCCACACCACTTCAGGGCAGCCCCTTGGCACTCTGCCCCGCTCACCCAGGGAACGGAGGTTGATCTCCTCTGTGATCTTGGCCTCCTCCAGCAACTCCTCCTGCGTCAGCGGGCGGTCATAGTTGGGGCCACCCTTCTTGCGCTTGGACTGCACCTGCCGCTCCTGGATGCGGAGGAAGGTCTGGCGCGTGTGTTCTGTCGTTGACTGCCGCATGTGCTTCCGACCTGCCGTGGGTGGACAGGAGTCAACTGGGGACACCTGCTGGGCCCAAGCCACCCTGTACAGCCTGAGCCAGACCCCAGTGCACAGCCCAGCTTTGAGAGAGGCTTCAGAAGGACCCATTTCCGGCCCACCCAGGTGGATACATCCCAGCCCACATACATTCACTGTCTCCCACTTCATCCTGGAGCTCCAAGGGGGTGGATTTCACCTCTCGGGCCTTTTGGGAGCTACTGCTGGGAGTGTCCGGCTTCTTGGGTCGCAGGCTCTTGATGGGCTCCTACAGGGATCAGACATGAGGTGACATGAAAAAAAGAGAAAACTTCCCTCCCCGCTAAGGTTTCGGCCTTGTTTAAACAAGAACCTGTTCAGGGACCACACAGTGGTCCCTGCTGAAGCACCAACAGCCCCAGAGAGGAACATCCCCCCCTCACGACGAATGACATTGTTAATAGCAGCAGCTTTGTTAGCTTTTCTTAATTATCCCATCTTTCCAGGAAT